TGTTGTGGGAAATCTTCCATGCTCTCTAGTGGTCCTTTCTTGAGCAAGTTGACCAATTTGAACTTCCAAGTTATGAATAGAGGACTTGGTATATTGCTCAAGGCTGTCCATGCGTTGATTAAGCTTCCTATTTTGATCTTCAAAACGCATGTCAAGTTTGGTGAATTGATTGTGGAGATTCCCAATGGATGCTTCCATTCTACTATGGTTTTCTTCATTTTTGGCTTTCATAGCGGCTACATTCTTTGTGAGAAGCCTCATCATCTCCTCCACAGTAGGTTCTTGTGATTGCCCAAATTTGGGAGCTCCGGGTTGAGGGTTTGAAGAATTCCCTTGTGGCTTCCAATTGTTTCCTTGGTTGTACCGTTGTTGATTGTTGTTGGAAAAATTATTTCCTCCTTGATTTGCCCGGTTACCATAGGAATTCATGTAACTAACATCCTCAAGATGTTGAGATGAGTTACCTTCCACGTTGGAGACACTCTCCACATTTGCTACTTGTTGAACACCTCCAATAACGGCTTGCAAAGCTGTTTGAATTGATGTTTGCACATTTTGTTGGACTTTGATTTGAAATTCTTCAAATCTTTTGTCTAGTTCATGAGTGATAGAAATCTCATTCACTCCCGCCACCTTGATGTCTCCTCCTTGAAGTTGAGGATTTGAAGCAATGGACTCAAGAATTCTAAAAGCTTCTGTCTCGGTTTTGTTGCCAATGTATCCCTCCGCTCGGTTGTCCACAATAGCTTGACAAGATGAGTTCAAGCCATTGTAAAAAGTGTCAATTTGGAGGTCAAGAGGAATGCGGTGATGGGGGCATTCCTTCAACAAAGACTTGAAACGCCTCCATGCGTCTTGAAAGAGTTCTCCAACTTGTTGTTTGAAGTTGAAGATTCGTTGTCGTAGCTCTTGCGTCATTGTTGGGGTGTAGTACTTGGAGATGAATACATTGTATATTTCATCCCAAGTAGTATAGGATGCCGGTACTTGCTCTAGAAACCACCCTCTTGCCGCTCCCTTCAAGGTGTAGGGGAAGCATTTGAGCCTAAGATCACCTTCATTTAGACCATTCCTTGGGACACCTTGAATGAACCCATAAAATTCAGTGATGAAATTTAATGGATTCTCCCCCGGTTGTCCATAAAAGTGCGGCATAGCATTGAAGTAGCTATTCCGCAACTCATAGTCTCGTGCCGCCTCGCTGAGCACGATGCAAGAAGGAGTTGTTGCAATGACGGGCCTCTTCCTTTCATTGAGTGTAGGAAGCATTGTTGGTGCTTTTGCTTCCTTCTTTCGATTCCTTCTACAAGCTCTCTCGATTTCAAGATTGATAGGTTCAAGGTTTGTAGAGCCTTGACTTCTCAATAGCATGCACTAAGAGCTTGTCTACACAACAAAATTTAAAACAATACCAAGTGAAATGTAATGGGAAAATTCAGGAATTTTTGTTGAATCGTATAAAACAAAACCGTTTCCCCGGCAACGGCGCCAAAAACTTGATCGGCTGAAACTTGCAAGTGTACAAGTGCCAATGTAGTAATAAATTCCGGTAAAAATACCGGGTCGAACACAAGGAAACGTTGTTTATATGATTCAAAAGTGAAAGCGGTTTAGTAAAAGAATTAAGAAAAGAGTAAAGCTTTTTGATTTTTTTTAGAGATAATAAAAGCAACCAAGGGTTCGAGATTACTCCTAAACGACTCCTAGTGATGAATATATGTTCTTTCACCAATTCTTATGAGTGGAATGTCACTAAAGTATTCTAACTCCTGTTACGGCAGCGAGATTGTGATTAATTCTACGTGTGAATCCCGTCACGGTTCACATTCATCTAAGATTAACCCCATTGAAGATTAGGACATTATAAAAACCACCATACTCAATTGAGGTATATTTCTATCCACAATTAGAATATGTCTAACCTTTAAGTGCACGGTTTATAACTCAACGTTAATTGCTCAAATAAACCCAACGATATAATCATACGTTGTACACCGTAGTCATACACATTAAAATATAAAGGAAAGATCATAATAATTTGGTTGAGAACATACATCAAACACCTAGAGTGCGTAAAGTTTCATCCCTAACCTTGGCTATAGAAAATTAGCTAGAACAATTCATAATAAAATTACAAGTATTGAAATGATAAAATACAATGAAATACATAAGAAAATGATACCACAACTCCAAAGCTATGGTGGATAAAGCTTTCCCCAAGTGTAGAACTTCTCCCAAGACCAAGGGGTTGCTCTTGGGATGCCAAAGTAGAAGTAAAGTGTGTAGAATATGGAATATCTCTTGAGAGGGCTTCAATCCTCTTAAATATTGAGTTCTCAACGGCCATTTTCGGACAAGGAAGCAAGCTCCTTAATGGGATTTGGTGTTTTGCCCGAGTGATTGTGATGACCGTTGCTTGTTTTAATCAGCTTCAGCAGAAAGGCGGGCGACTTTCGCAAAAGCCGGGCGGCTTTTGCGAGTTTAAAACGGGCTTCTCCGCTCCAGGGACCGAAAGCCGGGCGGCTTTCGCCAAAAGCCAGGCGGCTTTCGCCAAAAGCCGGGCGGCTTTTGATTCGGTTTTGCTGAATAATTTCCACGGCGCCCAAAGCCGGGTGGCTTTCGTCTGTTTTGCTCCGGGTGCTTTTCCTTTATCTTTGGACGGCAACGGGATGGCTGGTTGGTGAAAACCGGCCGGTTTTGGTGAAAGCCGGGCGGCTTTCACCCCTTTGGTGTATTTTCTCCTTTTTTTCTTTTGTTCTCGGGATGCGTTTGGTTGACCTTTACTTGTCGGGATTCTTCGCGTGACTTTTCATCCTCGTATTTGATCCAATTGTCGGTTATAGTATTTCTTGCAAAACGAGACATATGTGTGAGAGTCTTATTCTTTTAAGTATAAAAGCGTTTATAAATTGTTGTATAAAATACGTGAATAAAACGCTTATCAGTTTCAAATACTCTACCTCACACACATCCCTTTAAATGGTGGGTTGGGGTGGACTGATTTTTTGGTAAATGAGATGTGCAGGCTCCCACGAGTTCATTGGCCCACGGCTAGATGATGATTCTAAGCAGGTATTTTGTGTGCCATTTTTGTTTTTGTTTACTTCTTCCGTATTTAAAAGATCACTGCAGTAGAGTTTGACACAATATTTAATGGGAAAATAATATTGTTGGGCTGCGGGTATGCGGTGCCAGCAACAGCCAGCCTGCCGGTGCAATCGGACCGCGTGGCCCTTCGCTTGTGCTATAAAGGGGGGGGGGGGGAGCGTGCTTCACTATCAGCGATTACTTTTAGTGTAGCGGTAAGCGCAACGATCCACAAGTGGTATCAGAGCCAAGGTCACGGGTTCGACCCCCGGCAACAGCATGCTGCGCAGTTGTAGGCTGGCAGGTGCTGGGAGGAGATTGTTGGGCCGCGGGTATGCGGTGCCAGCAACAGCCAGCCTGCCGGTGCAATCGGACCGCGTGGCGCTTCGCTTGTGCTATAAAGGGGGAGGAGCGTGCTTCACTATCAGCGATTGCTTTTAGTGTAGCGGTAAGCGCAACGATCCACAAATATGTGTAATGAATAGTGTAGAAAAAGTAGGAGAGCATCTGCAAAAGTAGAAAAGAGAAAATAAAAAGTAGAAAAAGTAAGGGTAATGGGGTATTTTTAAAGGAAAAACTTACTCAAAAGAGAAAGTGTAGCAAACTTTTAAATACATCTCAAATAGGAAAATGTATGAAACTTTTAAATACGAGGAGAGTAAATTTTTTCGGTGTTTTATTTGATTTCATTTTAGAGACTCATTACTACATCAAAATCATACTCGGAACACTATAAAAAGAAAGTAATTCAAAAATAGTTTTTTAAAGAAATTTATGTTTTAAGAGTTGCCAAATTTTAAGTCACGGAGCCGGGAAAAACCCTACGATGCACTATGACGGTGCAAAGTTGATTCCAGCGCATCATCTGCTTCGAGTCTAGGAAATCGTTGCTGCAATTGAATTGGAGTATTGATTCCTAAAGCATGCTCCGTTGTTGCTGAAGAGTTATTTAATTGAGTCTTTCAATATAAATTGGATTCGTCGATATGTAGTAAACCCTAGCGCTATGTTGTGGCGGCGGGTCTTGGAGGATCGAGAAGGCCTGCTCGACGAAGTTAATTGACTGGCTCAACAGACAACTGAGTGAAGGAAGAAGACCGCTACCGATGTGAGGTTGGTGAGGATTTCAACATGGTTCTTTTTATTTCCTTTTTTATCTATTTTTTCTAGGGTTTTGGCTTTTGGTTATGTCCGGCGCAACTATTTGCCGAGGTTTGTGTTCGCTCCTTGATTGTGAGCGTTTTGTTGGTAGTTTGTTCCGTTCTTTTGGAAATGCTCATGCTTTTCTATTCTGCCATGGGAGGCAATGATGAGGTAGATGCGGCATGGGGGTTTACCCTAGTTCTGAGGCTTCAAATACTCCTCCTCCTCCTGAACCACCGCCTCACTCCGAAAGAAAGTTAGCATTCAACAGGATCTCCTTTTTTGTGGCTGGTCAAACCGATGTTTCAATCAAATTCTGCTCGCCTAAGTTTCCTTTGTTGATTGTTGATGAAACCAATTCTCCCTTCCCGGTGGTTGGTGATGTATTCAATGTTTTTGATGAAAGAGGGAGTCTGCCTTTCCGATGGATGGTCAAATAAGAATGATGTCTTTGGAGGTGGTGAATCAAACCTCGTCTCCCTTGCTGGTGGCCGGTAAAATCAAGATTTATATTACTCCCATATCTTCTCAGCTTTGGGATGCTTGTCGTTTATCTTTTTGTCTTAGTAGCAAGTCCAGCAATGCTGAAGGAATAGCCTACCATATTGTGGAGTTACCGATCTGGCACGACCTTCTGGGGCTAGCTAGTTCTATGTCTCACTCCAGGATTGGTATGAGCTATTGCTCTGCTTTGTCCATTGTTACTTTTAATATCATTAATAAATGAATGTCTTTCTTTCAAAAAAAATAAGGGAAAAGTGTAAAATAAGCCCTCGTACTATACTGAAAATGTCAATTAAGCCCTTGAATTCAAAAAACACCCAATTAAACACCTGAACTAAGAAAAAATGTTCAATTCAACTTTTTGCCAAGTAACCAACCGGTCATCGGGTAAAAGGAAACATGTGGCGACACGTGGTGACACATGGCTTTTTCTCTTTTTTCTTTTTATTTTTCCTTTCTTTTTCTTTCTTCTTCGTTCCTCACCCTCCCCATTCACTATGTCTTCGTCCAGTGCTCCCTCCCCGTTAATTTCCTTTGGTTTCATTTTTGGGGTCTCTCCCTCTTTAGCTGACAAACCCCAAGCACCGATGTTTCTCTACTTCAATTTCGTTTTTGGATTTTGACATGTCAGTCCAAGTATCAAACCATGGATATACAACAAAAATAAGAGAAATAAATTAAAACTACAAAAATAGATCGGCTTTTCATGGGATTGAAAGTTGGGAAGAAAGGTTGACAAAGTTCCCAGGAGGATGAACCAAGGGGCAGCGGTAGTGGCAACCAGGCAGCGGCATCCCGTCGACGGCGTTGATGCAATGACTGGAGAACACGATCGGAGCTCCAACATAAATTATGTCTTTGCCGGCAGTTGGCCAGAGAAGACGACCGGAAAGAAAGGAGAGAGGTGTTGGCTAAAGCAAGAAAGATAAAAGGAAGGAAAGAAAGGATAAAAGAAAAAAGGAAGGAAAGAAAGGAGATAAGTGGCAAATTATACCGTGGGATCGGTGTACCATGCGCATGTACCATGCGAAGCATACAAGATCACTTGCTGAATGATTGCATGCTCTCTCCACTCACACATCCCTCACTCACATTTCATTTTTCTTTTTCATTTGTTTCTTTTGATTTTTTTATCATCAAAAGCTATAATGTTTCCAATTACTTTTTTTAATTTAAGAGCATAGAACATATTATAATTTTGTGATCAAATTTCATCCTTTCAAATAAATTAATTACTTTTTCTTTCTTTCTTAGTCCTTATTGATACACTTTTCCTTTTCTTTTCTTTTTATTCAACTAAAAATACAATAAAAAATTATCTATTTTTTCTTCAGAATAAATATTTTTTATATTTATACACTTATTTGTAATATATTTTTTCACATTCACATTTTTTCCTATAATATATTTATTATCTCTCTTATATGGAGTATATTTTTTGTATTTTTTTAGACATTAAATTTGGTTATTTTGATTTACATTTGATAAAGTATGAGATTACATTTTCCTGTGCGATTTATATTTCTACAAGTGTGAGTTATCTTTATTGACAATTTCAGGAGTTACATTTCATAATATATGAAGTTACATCTTCTTGTACGTGAGTTGCATCTTTTTATGAGTGAGTTAGATCTTCATACACGCGAGTTACATCTAGACTTATCTCAACAAGTTACATTTTGCATATACCTAGGTTAGTTTTCAATCAGTACGTGTTACATTTTTCATAATATGAGTTACATCACTAAATAAACATCTCTATTGAAAGAAAATAACCATTTCTTTGCACAAAAACTGATTCTTTTTGGCAAAAAAAATCCCCAAAAAAAATATTTTCTAAGAAGCAATTTTTTATGGCCTTAAATATTAAAAACAAAACATATTCATTATTTACATAGCGTAATTGAGCAATTAAGCTCTTTGTTTTCATTGTTTACAATTGATAATATATGAAGTTACACAATTTTATGTGTGAGTTACATCTTCTTGTACCCAAGTTGCACTTAGACTTGCTTCAACAAGTTACATTTTGCATACACCTAAGTTAGATTTTTTCATCGACATGAGTTACATTTTCCATAACACTAATTACATACCAAAATAAACTCCAACTATTGAAACAAAAAATTCATTTTTTTTTGCAAAAAAAAATGATATTTTGGCAAAAAAAAGATATTTAAAAAAATATTTTTATGGCCTTAATATTAAAAACAAAACATATTTACTACTTATGTATAGTAATTGAGCAATTAGACTACTTTTTTTCATTGTTTACATTGAAATCAACATTTTATTTATTCTTCTTCGTATTAGAAAAGTTACACCACAACTTGCCTGCAGTTACCTTGCATATTGACGTAAGTTACATTTCATTACACACAAGTTACATCTCCCTGTTACTGGGAACAAAAAAGAATGTTACTGTTCACGCGTGTTACTGTTCACACATGAATTAGCTGTGGGAGCACCATTCTCACCGTGGGCTGCTCCCACGGTATACCAACTGGAGATAAGTGCAGGCTAAAAAAGGTAGGAAAGAAAGGAAAGAAAGGGAGAGTGGATTTCTCGTAGAAGAAAACCGAATGGGGAAGAAAGAGAGAAAGAAAGAAAAAAAGGAAAAAACGAAAAGTGAAAAAATTAGAAGAGGGCGAAGAGATCCTGCCCTGAGCCTTCTGACCGCAAGGCCGATGACACTGTGCTGCCCTCTTGTGGATGTCCGGTGTCTGACATTTGGAGAGATGTTGCTCTCCAGGGTACAACAGGCACCCCGCTCTTCGGCTGAGGCTGTCAGCCATGCTCTGACGTTGACCATCCAGGTACACATTGATTTTCTTTTGATTATTTTTAACTTGTGTGAGTCGTTCCCTTCAGACTGGCCTGAGCCTGCTGCAGGCAGAGGCTGCCAGGGAGCAGGATGTCCTGGAGACCAAAAGGAGAGTTGATGAGGCTCTGAGGTCGGCCCATGAGGCGGCTCGGCAGGAGAAAGAGGCAGCTGCCAGAGAGAAGAAGGAGCTCCAGGCCGCTCTTGATCTGGCCGAAGCGAAATTGGCCAAGCTGGAGGAGTATGGTCGTAGATTGGTTCCCGCCTCTTCCCCGACCCCTGAAGGCGAAGCTGCTTCCATCGATGCTCTTCCTAGTGAGCTCGACATTTCTGATTTCAAGATGACGCCCCTCTTCATGACCGCCGCCTATCAGTACTTCCATGGGAGCGTCAGGGATGTTCTTTAGGCTGAGTTGAACGCCAAGAAGAAGAAAGAGCGTCTGGCTCATGGGGTGCAGCTCTTGGGGAGGAGACCACTCAGCAAGCTATTTTTAATTTTCTTGAGGTGGCCGATGACGGCTTTGCCAAAGGCTATAATCTCGGCGTGAAGCCTGTGCTGCCCGTCCTCCAACAGCTCAACAGTCCATCCTTGAATCTGGCGGACCACACGAAAAACAATCTTCTGCTGGCGGCCATCGAGAAGTTGGGACGGGATCAGAGGCGAGCCCAAGCTGTGGAGAGGGGCGAGGATCTTGAGCCCCCGACCCCTGACGTGAGCTCTGATGAAGAGGAGGTCAAGCCGAATGCCACCGCACGTCGATCCCCTGCTCATGGTTTTCTCTAATGTATTCTCCTTTTATTTCAATTTGGTGTGTATAATTCCGGCCGATAGAGCCAATGAACAAAATCTTAGTTTTATCCAACATCGTTCCTTGACTCGAATCCGTGCTATCTGTTATTTTTTCCTTGTTAATCCCCGCACAAGGCATTTAACTCTGCGCGTAGTGTAAGTTCTTAATAGCACACTTTTAAGGCGACGACCATCCTTCTGTTTACCCTTTCTGGGAGCATGGTATCTGACACCTAGAGCTTACGATGTCATCCCCCTTTTTAACTTCGGATTGTCGTACAGGATGTTTCTGTAAGACTGGATCTGTTCGTGCTGTCCAGGCATGTTTCCCCCATAACTACGGATGTGCCATTTTTTGTTAAGTAATCAAGTCCGTTTGTGCCATCCAGGCATCTTTTCCCTCTGATTATAGATGTGCTACTTTTTATTAAGTAACCAACTCCATTCGTGCCATCCAGGCATCTTTTCCCTTTGTCTCTTTTTTTTTTACGACGGAGGTGAAAGGATTGACTTCCCTTGCTTTGGGCTTCCTCGCACCTTCGCCTAGAACTTGGGCCCGATATGATTCTGGGGACAATTCGTCTTTGATACGGTAATATCCCCATGGTCACGCCCGTCTGCAACATCCATTATTCGGGGTTGTGGTAGCTCCTTTTGAAGACTATTGTCGTGAATACGTACGTCTTTGTGCTACAAAGTGAAGCCCCCATCGTGTGCACCTGGCTGACACGTATATCGAAATGACATGCCTGCCGCGGGGTCCACCGCTAATGGTTTGCCACGTGTTCCTTCCTGGTTGGGTAGCACCGGCGGCGCTGCTTATAAGTACCGTATTTTTTCAAAAGGACTGTCTCTCCTTCTTCTCTTGGTTGTTATCCTGACGAATTGCTTTCTCTCTCTAGGCTTCATTTATTCTTATTAAGTTCTCCAGTCTAGCCTCTGCTCGTAGCCATGTCTAGTCAATTAGCATCCTCGAATCCCCGGAGATTGGAAACCACCTAGGCATCCTCGTCTGTTAATCAAGTGGATGATGGATGTTTGTTTGGGGACGACCTCAAGTATTATGAGCGGGGAATGCCTCCACGGCCTTCCCGTTATTCCCTTCATTTCTCCTGCATCTGACGCCAGCGCCAGTGCTTGGCCTCTTGCCATTAGCTCATGATAAGTCAGTTGTCCCCCCCCCCCCCCCATGGGGATTTGATGTCCGTCCTATCCGTCATCCCATGCGCCATTTGCCTGGCCATGTGATAGCACATCTAGATTCGGTCGTAGCCGGTCTAGTATTCCCTCTTCATTGTTTCCATGTGGAGTTATTCAGGGATCTCTGGATTACTCCGGCTCAGCTCATCCCCGCATCCTATAGAGTAATCGCGGGTTTCATAGTGTGTTACCATAGCATAGCGGTGGTCCCTTCTGTAGATTTGTTCCACCACTCCTTCCGGGTTCATCCGTTCGGGGCTACAGGCTATTTAGGCCTGACCGCACGTCCCTCGAAAGCACTGCTCTCTAATAATGGATCCAACCCGCCCGACTGGGAGGATAGATTTTTCTTTGCTGAAGTGGGTTCTCCGATTCCTTTTTCTGATTGATGGAACCCTTACCCGATCAAGTACCCCCTCCCCTGCTAAGTCGGATGAAGAGTTGGGGTATGCTGATCGTATCGCCAGCCTTAACGTCCAATACCTCCGGCAGTTGTTGGTTGAACCCCTCATGTCTCAGGCTAGTTTAGGTATGTCCGGTCATAGTTTTGGAATTTAGGGTCATTTGTATCTTCCCATGCTAACCGTTTTCTCTTTTTTGTAGGTGTGTATATCAACCCTCCTGTCATGGGTTGTTCCAATAATATTCCTCCACTCCCTAGCCGCCAGGACAAGGACAAAGGGAGAGTCGCCATTGGGTACGATCAACGTGTGATGCGATCAAGGACCAGCAATTCTTCTGGCGATGAGCATCTCGCCATGAAGCTTCGTTGTGACGAAGGGGCTTCCAAGGCCATAATCCTGCTAGACGGGTCCGAAGATGACAGGGCTGTCCCCCTGTATAAAAAGACCGACCCCTATAAGGATAAGGGGAAGGGGAAGGAGAAGGAGGGTCGTGTTCTTCCTCCACCAGAGCTCCATAGCCTTTCCCTGAGACTGATTCAATTCTCTGGGTTAGGCCCTCGTACCGAGTCCAAGATGCTGTTCGGCCAGACGGCCTCTTCAATCTGGTGTTCCTTGGGGTTGAAAGTTCCTCAGGACTTTACCGGTTATGAAGATCTGGTGGATCTCCATGAGTGCGGCCTTAGCACTCTGAACAAGGCCGCCGTCTACTTTAGTATGGCACGGTTCGCCTACGAGAAGAAGAGTCGAGACATGGCCCAATTGAGGGGCGAGATCGAGGATCTGGTCATGAAGGCCCAGAGCCGTCTTAACAAGATGCAGGAGAATCTCGACGTTGTGGGAAAGGTTACTGACGAGCAC